TGCTGCTGAACTCTGAAGCCCGTGAGGCTCTGCAGTGAGGATTATATGCTTATCTCAATTAAGAAGGATTTAGCAGCATGGGGAGCACACAGAGATTATCTACTGAGTTCATGCAAAAAACTGTGATAATCTGTGGAAAAGGTGCTTGGTGAGGTTCCTTCCATAACCCCTGTAAACTCAGGGCAAGCACTGGGTTTGCTGGTGGCCCCTGTGAAGTATATACAACCTGCCCACCTTTATTTATGTCAGTGTTTGTCTCACACTCTGCTGTTGTTGGTAGAGGAGATCTTGGGTGTGTATTCATGATCGATACCAAATCATCAGCTACTTAGGGATTACATTCAGAGCCACAGACCTGCTCACCAAACTGGTGCTTAGAAAACCAAAGAAAAGGAATACTTCTAGAAATATCATAGTTGCTGAAGTTGTTTGAGACAGTGGTTGTGACTTTCCCTCTCAGAAGGTTAATTTTTTTGTCCTTAAAGTAGATCCGTATCAGTGATGAAACTAAAGAAATACAGAGACACCAAAGGATCCCCACCTCTCTACAGCACTAAGAAACATATTTCTGTACAGAATCATAGAATCCCAGAATCAGTTGTGTTGGAAGGAACCACAATGGGCCATTGGGTCCAACCTCCCTACTCCAGCAGGGCCACCCTAGAGCACATGGCTCAGGGTTGTGTCCAGATGGGTCTGGAATATCTCCAGTGAGGGAGAATCCACAACCTCTCTGGGCAATCTGTTCAGTGCTCAGTGACTGCACAGCAAAAAAGTTCTTCCTTGTGGTCAGGTGGAACTTCCTGGGCATCAATTTTTGCTGTTTCCTCTTGTTTTCTTGGTTTCCTCCACTGAGCAGAGTCTGATCATCCTCTTGGCACTTCCCACTCATGGACTTGAATCCATTCATGAGGTCCCTCTCAGTCATCTCTTCTGGAGACTGAACAGCCCCAACTCCCTCAGCCTTTCCTCATCACTGAGGTACAATTTAGTTCCTATTAATTATTCCACTTTGGCTGAACAAATTACTTTCATCCTTCAACCCATGTGTTTATTTTCCTCCTTTTTTTCAACTGTACTTTAAAACCCAAAAGTCTACAATGGGAAATTAGTTTTGCACTGTGTTTCCTACTGAAGGCAGAGAGTTACAAGAACATCCAAGACCATCCATCAGAAGTTGTGAGCTATAGCTTAGACCACCAGCTTTGGTAACCTCACTGTTTGCACATTTCCTATATTTACTCCACTTCTACTCATGGATACTGTAACTATCATGCCAGTGCTACCTTATAATCTAAGTAAATTATCAAATTCAAAGGTTAGCAAGAACAAGTGATGCTTTTTCTCCTTCACAGAGCATGAACTAAGCATTTTCTGCCTGGTGATTTATTTACTTACTTATACGTGCCAGTTCTTGATAAGAAACAACAAGGATTTTGTGGAAGAACTTGTTGTCTGAGAGGAAAAAGTTATGAATTATAGAGTTCCAGTCATCTCTTTTCCTACTCCCCAAATTTCTGCCTTGCAGACTACAGGAGAGTAGCTGACAACAAGGAGTCTCAAGCATTTCTTGCTGTGGTTGCCACTGGGAAAATAAGTCTTCCTTTTCCTGTCAGTTTATGTGCATGTTCTCACCAGCTATTAACAAATATGCCCCAAAAGACAAATATAGCTGTAATTAGCAACCCTCACTAGTCATGATGAGGCTTGCTGTGTGTTGCACACCTGATCCACAAAGACACAGGTCTGTGTTTTTCACCTCCTGTGGAGACACCTACATGTCCCAAACAAAAACACAAATCAGCAGACAAGCTGCCAGAGATCCCAAATTCCTTAGGTGCAATAGCATAGTCCCAGCAAGAAATACACCTCCAGCTCCTTCCCACTCACCTTTTCATGCCATTCCACAGGGAACAGTCATCCTGGCCTGGATCAGGAACAGCACCAGGGAGGTGATTCTGCCCCTGGACTCGGCACTGGTGAGGCCACACCTTGAATCCTGTGCTCAGTTCTGGGCCCCTCAGCTCAGGAGGGACATTGAGGGGCTGGAGCAGGTCCAGAGAAGAGCAACAAGGCTGGTGAAGGGACTAGAGCACAAGTGCCATGAGGAGAGGCTGAGGGAGCTGGGGGTGTTCAGCCTGGAGAAGAGGAGGCTCAGGGGAGACCTCATCACCCTCTGCAACTCCCTGACAGGAGGTTGGAGTCAGGTGGGGGTTGGTCTCTTCTCCCAGGCAACCAGCAGCAGGACAAGAGGGCACAGACTCAAGCTCTGCCAGGGCAGGTTTAGGTTGGAGATTAAGAAGAGATTTTTTACAGAGAGAGTGATCAGACATTGGAATGTGCTGCCCAGGGAGGTGGTGGATTCACCATCCTTGGAGGTTTTCAAGATGAACTGGATGTGGCACTTAGTGCCATGGTCTAGTATCCACGGTAGGGTTGGACTTGATGATCTTGGAGGTCTTTTCCAATCTGGTTGATTCTATGATTCCATGATTTAATTCAGCCAAAATGGAATGATTAATAAGAACTAGTTTCTCCTAATGGTTAGGGGCTATAATAACTGGTCACTCTTTTTCCTGATTCTTGGCTTCTTGTCAATGCCTTCACAGATGTCAGCTGGAGACATAAGCAGTCTTGGCACTGGAAGATCCCTTGTTATGTGGTTGGGATTAATGAGTAACAGACAACATTGTGTAGATATAATTTAACGTGCCTGAAAACTGACATCAAGCCCAAGTGCTGCTTGGCATGTCTTGGTAGATACCTTCAGGTATCACCTCTGCTGAGTAACCACCTACTGCCAGAAACCTCCTTCATCTACCTTCCCCCATTTCTGTGTCATAAAATTAAAGTGGTTTGAGTTTTAACTCCAAAGGAGGGAAAAATAAAACAAGAAAGAACTCCATCAGAAAACAGCCCAGCCAATTTATGGCAGTGCACTTGAACAGGAGAACGAATACTCAAATTTAACTTTCTTGGTGTTCCAATTTGGAGGAAAAGTCTCCCCTGGAGTTCTAATCTGGCCATGTTTAAGCACTTTGAAATGGCTTTTTCCAGTTAAAAAAGTACTTCCCATATGCTTGACATATTGCTGCATATAATGATGGAATGCAGGGGGAAAAAATGTATGTTTACATACAAAACATACCCCACGTGCATATTTATATTAGGAGAGAGAAAAGTATTTTATTTATGGATGTAGAACTTGACACTTCTAACATCTTATGTAAATAAATGCCAAATGGGGAAGTTTGCATTGTACATTAATGGGTTACACTCCTTCATTTCCACTTCTCAAATCTGGCTATGATTGCACACAAGTACCTCAAACAGCAAACATCTGGATGGTTTAAAAGCAACTCAAGTGTGTTTTTGCTGTAAGACATATTCTTACTGTGAAGTTACAGATTCAAGCTTTGCTGGTGACATTTTTTTGGTCCTGAGCAGCCTCAGACCAGATTTCTATTAAACATGATCATTTTGCAGTATCGGTGTGGGCACAGCCTTAGCAATATTAATATCTAAAGTCTATCAAACTCTTTTATAATTAGGGTACAGTTCAACAGGCATTTGCATTAAGATTATATCCTTGGAACTTCTCCAAGTAACTGCAGTGCCATAGAGAAATCCTTTGTCCAGCTTACATGTTTGACAGGTTGTACAATTGCATGACTCTTTTCCATCTCTTCCCTCCAGATTTAGGACAATTTATCTCTGATTCTCTTTTGTTTCTAGGTTTCAAAGTGCAATTTCCTGCAGAAATGAATCTGCTCATAATTCAGGTCGTCCACCCACCCACTCAGTTACTTGTCTCAGCTAGCCCAAGTGCTGGAAGGAATATATAAAGCTAGTTCAGTTCTTGATGCTGGAGCGATATGATCTCTGCTTAATATACTTAGGGCTTAAAAATGTGAGTGTTAGCAGCCATATCAAATGCTACAGCACTGCTCTCATGTAGGTTATATGCTCAAATATGGCACAAAGCAGGAATTGTGCTCTTCTGGGAGACAGAAAGTCTCCCAGTGTCTGAGACTTGGAAACTGGAAAGAGAAGTTTACTAGGACCAAAGTGTTGCAATCATATCTCAAAAAATTTGCAGTTTGAAGTTCTAAAATCCCTAGGGCATATCATGTGCTGTCACAATATCATTACATACATTGTATCATGATAACAAAACAATGTGTGCCTCCTTTTCCTGCCTCTTTTTTTTCCCCTTAGAAAGAAATCCAGTAAATGAATATGCAACGTTAGCTCTTGTTCAGAATTATTCACTCGGACAAACCAAATAAATGAGCACGTGTTTGTAACAGCCTTTCTTTTCCCCACCATTTTAACAGCACTTTGAATAAAAAGTTTGACTTCTTCCTTGGGTTTAAATTCTTCAATCTGCAGTTTGCTTATCAAGAACAAAAAGCAGCTGATGCTTCCCACAGAAGGCAACTCTGGGATTTCTCTGTGGATCCTCAGAGAAAGGAAAGTACAGCCCTGATGTGCTGACTGCCCACGCTGCTTGCTGTTGGTTCACTCTGTGGCTCTGCTGTGGCTGCTCTATCCACATCTTTCTAGATAAACCTGATCTAGTGTGGACACAAGACAGACTGGTGATCCCCACCCCTCTTTCATCTAGCTGTCAAGACACAGCTCTCGGTTCCTCCGTGGGAGGATTTCTCAGCAAGCCAAGAAGAGTCAGAACTCAAACTTGGTTCCTAATCTTTCACAGATTTTTGTTCCTATGTCAAGCCTGGATTCCCTCATGCCACCAGTCTTCTCAAAGAGAGGAAGGAGATGTGCAGTGATGTGTAGTGTGTGTGTGTGTGTGTGTGCACAAACACACGTGCACATCTCCCCCTGCCTTTGTTTAGACCTCTGGGCATTGTTCCCATGTAATCTTTGTTCTGCTTATGAGCTGTCTGTTCTTGTTTTGGCAACACACACAAATATTTACTCATCTTCATAAACAATCACCAATTCTGTCTTTTCAGGTAAAACATCAAGAGAGCATGGCTCACTTGGGTGAACGCAAATGGACTCACGTGTTCCCTTTCCTGGTGGTAGGTATCTATGTGTCTCCCTGGGGTGCAAAGAAAACAAGGATCTGATTGGATCCTTCACAAACATCCATGAATTGTAAAATGACTTAGGGACTGAGCCCTGACCCAGTGATTGGTTTTCATTCAATAAAACCCCTGGGCATGTGCTGCTTAAACTGTGGGAGCTAGGGAGGAGGGGAAGAAGGACCCAGGATGAAGCAGAAAGAGAAGGTGCTGGAAGTGCAGATCAGCCTGGGTGTCACAGCTCTGTCATGGTTGAGGCCTGAGGCAGTGCATTAACTTGGGTGTTAATAGTTGTCCCTTGCAGTCACATTTATGAAAACTCATTAGAGGTGGGAGGGGTTAACTCAGGCATTTGCTTGTGTAGGAGAAAGTGAGAGTTATTAGGTCAGGAACCACAGCCTTCAGTATTGTAAGGAGTGGCTGTGCCAAGAAGCAGGAACATCAGTGCTCTGAGAAACTCTTGGAAGGACCAGGGTGCTGAAAACTGGATCTGATTCTACTCCACATAGTGGCACCAGTTCTGCTTCTGAACTTCAGGAGTGTTTCACACTGCAATGCTGAGCCACAGCATCTAGGCAAGGGGAGGGGCTGAGGTGTGGGGCACAGAGGTGGTGGAAGTGACAGTGCTCTGGGATGCTCTCTTGGTGACAGGTCTCCCTGGTGTACTCTGCCAGCGCCGAATACTCCAACTGTGGTGAGAATGAATACTACAACCAGACCACTGGCATGTGCCACGACTGCCCCAAGTGTGAGCCGGGTGAAGAACCCTACATGGTAATTTCAGCTTCTTCTGCTTGGTGGGGGATGCACATCAAGCACCAAATGCAAGAAAAAAAAAAAAAAAAAAAGAAAGAAAACCCAAATGATTTGTCACATAACATATATGGATAGGAAAGAAAATGGGTGAGGATGGGGAGGCTTAAGCAGGAGCATTTATACCTGCAAGTGTGCCATGGGAGCAAGACATCATGCACGTCAGCAGCCTGTTAAAAGTCAGACTGGAAAGTTATAAGGGAAAAGTTCCAGGCAGAGTTTCTGCCAGCCTGCCCTCACCTCAACAGTCAGTTAAAATCCAATGCTGCCATTCTAGCATGGTGTGATAAATCAGTTAGCCTGGCACACACCCTGGCCCCCCACACTGACAATTTCATTTTGCTCTTCTGCTCAGATATTTTGGCTCTAGAGGAACTTGGATGTTTCTGCAACGTGTTAAATTATGGTTCCTAAGTAACCATTTGATTTACAGCAGATAATTGTTGCTTATTTAAAAAAAAATAAATTACTGAGATCCTGTTTGGTTTTTAATGGGATAAACATCCTATCGCAAGCACTTGACACAGTTGGTAGTCCTGAACAAGTATGTTTGAATAATAACAAGTTGGTTTCAGTTTTATTTAATCTAAATGTAATGTTCAGCTGGGACATGTGAGTTCAGAGGTTACAAAATCTCATCCAAACATTGCCTTTTGTGATGTTCCCTGTGGGCTCTCCTAGCAGGAGAGCTGCTGATAGCCCTGCTGCAGCTGTTTCTCCGTAGTAGTATTCTATGCTCTTCCACTCTTCCATTTTTGGCTCACTTTCTATCTAAGCAGCAGCTGAAATTCACTTCCATGATTTGCTGGACTGTAACAGAAGTAGCTACAAGGGGTCACTTACAAGGAGTATGATCTGGTTCCCCTTCACCCTCTCCAGCATGTTGCATCCTTAGATCCCTGCATGGCCTTTTTAGGAACAGACACTAAGGGACCAAATGAGACACTTCTCTCCCTTTGTGCTGCAAAGCCAATGGCCCAGGCTATGAACATTCCCTTCTGCTGGAAGCTGGTGTGCACTGCAGTTTGCTTTCAGTGCCTTTGTGTTGTTGCAGACGTGTGGATATGGCACCAAAGACGAGGACTACGGCTGCATCCCCTGCCCTTCAGAGAAGTTTTCCAAAGGAGGTTACCAGATATGCAGAAGGCACAAAGACTGTGAGGGTTTTTTTCGAGCCACAGTCATGACACCTGGTGACCAGGAGAATGATGCAGAGTGTGGTCCTTGTCTCCCAGGGTAAGGACTTAAGCATAGATCTTTGCTTTACCCAAGGCACTGGAAAATATTTCTTTAATATCACAGTCTCTGACAGCCTCTCTTCATGTCCTAGCTGACTGTAGGGACAATAGTGGTGAATTATGCTTTGCTGTCTCTGCTAAAACCATACATGTAAATGTTTCAAAAGCATTGCTGAATGTAATAAACCATAGAATCCTAAAATGATTAAGTTTGGAAGGGACCTTAAAGAAGCAGTCATTAACCTCACTGAAGAAATAGCTGTTTGGAACCACTAGAAAACTTTTCCTCTTACTAAAAGTGGAAAGGGAACAAGCACAGGTGTGCAGTGCCATTTTAAATGCTCTCAAAAATCCAGCTTAGCCTCCAGCTGCAGCTTCAGAGCTTCTCCTTCTGAGTCCTGCATCCTACAAATGAGCTGCATGAAAGTGCCCTGGATACCCTGTAGGGTCTATGCTGGCACTATGGCATGTTTGGGAGCATAAAATATCTCCTCTCCAGATGTGACCAGCTGGCAGATTTGTCAGTAGTTGATAGCATTAGCTAACATAGCTGTTAGGTGAGATTTACCAAGGCATTTTAGTCTCTCAGAGTCCTTTCTAGCCGACAGAAAGGAATCTAAGGAGCTGCTAATGTGGTGTGTGTGCTGTTGTTCAGAGTCAAAACAAGTTTCAGGGCTGGCTGAAGGGGCTTAAAATAGCTGCTGTTTATTAAGTCCATCTTTGTAATGGTCTCTTATGCTCAGTATAATTCTGATAGCAATGGTGAGAAAGAAATTGCTACATTTGCTATTAGCAGGATATTCTTGACTATATTACCTTTGAAAGTCTGAAAACCCAAACATCCATTTGCACTCTCAAGGTTTATTTTTGTAGGGTGAGCAAATACTCTGAAACACAAGCTCACCTTGCATTCCCTTTCAGTTTCTGCCACTGTGCCTCTTTGGTTTCGAGGGTAATTCCTACTGACATTTGGCTTTTGTGCAGTTTGCAGAGGTTGTATAACCCACACTCCTAGTGCAGGGACCCCTGTTAGAGGCCCTGCAAGCTTCCAGGTTTATTATATCAGTGAGCCTGTGTGAAATTTTCAGTTTACAAATAAAATGAAGGACTTGTCTAGCTGCCAGCCCAGCAGACTGATGATGTGATTTGAAAAGAGCTCCCTCTTGACTTCCCCTCATACATTATAAAGAGCAAGAAAATCAAATAGTGGCCGTGGTTGCTGTTCTGCAATTTTTGTCAGGACTAATGAGGTCACCCAGGTGGGAGCAAGGTGCTGGCTGAAAATAATCAGCTTGCACAGCTGGTGCTTGGGGAGAAAGCTCCAAACATGGTGTTTGCACAGGTGTAGCCTGTAGCAGAAAGTGGCCTGCTGGAATCTGGCACGGCGCCGCTCCCCACGCAACTCTCAGGTCCTGGGATTGTTTGGCAAAGCCAGCAGTTAAGGAGAAACACCCTCTTAGTGCAAGCTTGAATAGATGGAATTCCCAAGATAAACTAAGTATGGGCTAAAACAAGCTCTGAAGCTGCCCTGACTCCTCGTGCTGCTCAGAGTCCTCAGAGTTTGCTCCTGTGCGATAGTGGGGGAAATGCAGAGCTTCTGTGCCAGAGCAGAGAGCTGGGGAGTAGTGCAGGCTGAACAGCATAGAACCACAGAATTTTAGGGATTGGAATGGACCTTGCAGATCATCCAGTCCCAACCCACCCTGCCATGGACAGGGATATCTTCCCACCAGACCAGGTTGCTCAAGACATCCTTATTGCACAGGGACAGCCAAGCACCTGGGTGAGTGGCACTTGGCAGAGTGCTCCCTTGCCTGGGCAGCAAACCTCAAAGAGCTCCTGAGTCAATGTGAGCACAAGTGCTATAAGGAGAGGCTAAGGGAGTTGGGATTGTTTAGCTTGGAGAAGAGGAGGCTCAGGGGAGACCTTATCACCCTCTACAACTCCCTGACAGGAGGTTGGAGTCAGGTGGGGATTGGTCTCTTCTCCCAGGCAACCAGCAGCAGGACAAGAGGGCACAGACTCAAGCTCTGCCAGGGGAGGGTTAGGTTGGATATTAGGAAGAGATTTTTTATGGAAAGAATAAGCAAGCATTGGAATGTGCTGCCCAGGGAGGTGGTGGATTCCCCATCCCTGGAGGTTTTGAAGCTGAGACTGGATGTGGCACTTAGTGCCATGGTCTATTGACCACGGTAGGGGTGGACTCGATGATTTTGTGGTTGATTCTATGAGTCTATGATTTAATTCAGCCAAAGTGGAATTATTAATAAGAACTAGTTTCTCCTAATGGTTAGGGGCTATATAACTGGTCACACAGAGAAGCAGTGGATGACCTCTCCTCTTGTACCAAGAGTAATAGTGAAGAAAAAAATAGAAGGAAAAATATATGATTATCCAACACTTATTTTAAGGGAAAGGATAGATGATGGCACTTGTAGCCACTGGGAAAAGGCTGCAAACTTCTGTTCAGATTGTGCCATGTGCCATCTTGTCCTCAGGCTGCTTTACTGAGCTGGTGAAAAATAGCAAAGATGTCCCTAAGTGCAGATGGCAGCATGTGGGCTGCTACCTTGGGAAGGTCTGCAGGGTGTTTCAGAACCTGATTTTTTTCTCTCACATTAGAATCATAGAATCAATCTCCCCTGGCAGAGCTTGAGTCTGTGCCCTCTTGTCCTGCTGCTGGTTGCCTGGGAGTTATGAATTTATTCATCTCTTCATTAAAACTTGTACAGATTTATCTGTATTGTATAGACTTATCCATAGCATCAGCTCTACGATGTTGCATCAACATATGTAGGATTTTGGTGTGATTTTCTCATTAAGGTGCCTGTGGATCCAACTCTTGCATAACTCATTACTTTATCTCAACACTAATTCTATTAGCAACCCAGAAACTCAAATCATGAAAACCTTTACTTCACACTATAACTCCACTGTCAATGGCTAACTTAAAAACAATACAGCAAAGAGGTAAAAAACCCCAACATGACAAAAAACAACAGCCCCCTGCAAGTCCTAATTTGCCTTGCCCTGTAAGGGTGGTGTTTTCCCTTATTTTTCATTATGATTAGGCTCAGATTTGGTTCTAATATTATGGAAATTATACTTATGGTGTTTGTGAATAAAATCAGCTGACCATATCCAACTGGTGCTCTTGCCTGCAAGATCACTGCTTCAAAAAAATAGCATTCCCTTGTTTTGAAAAATCTTATTTCAGGGCATGCTGTAAACTGCAGCTTGAACTCAGCAGGGAGACTAATGTTGTTTTAGGCAATGTTACCACTTCTTGTCACGTCTAGATGTTTGATTAATTACCTTTCAGGAGGAAAGGAAGAAGAGAAACACTGTCTCTATTCAGGCAACTAAGAAAAAAAAGAGAGAAAAAAAAGAATAATCTTAGCATCAAATTGCTTATAAAAGGTTTTT